ATTTGTTGTTGTACTTCCCCTCCATTGTGGCCTATATATACACAGCCATATGGCCATTGTAAGAGAGCCATGGATTGAATAAAAACTTCTTTGTTTTACTCTTTGAGTAATTCTTTAAAATAGTGCGATGCTATTTTAACCAAATTTCCTAATGAAATATCTCTAAAGTTGGCTACTTTTGAGTGCGTGTTAGGAGTCTAATTTTATACATTAGTAGTGATTATTAATGTGTAAAAGAAGATAAAAGCCCCAAGTTAAGATAAGAGTGTGTCATATCTCTTAACACCAACTTGGTTTATCCCTTCACTTTATTTCTGTCCATTTCATTCCTCACCATTTCTTCTTCTTAAACTTATTCTTTTCTCTCATTAAAAACACCAAAAAGAACTCCTTCATCACCTCCATATTTACCCAGCCATTTCCAACAATCGATTATCATAAAAGTGATAATCGATTATCGGGCAACTCTGAACATTCGTGGTTTGGAAATCATATCTTGTTAATCGATTATCAGTTAATGATAATCGACTATCACGCGTTTCTGAACTTTGGAGTTCAAAGTTGTTTCCTTCTTGCTTCCATTTCCTCCGTAAACCCGCCATCAAATTAGTTACTTGACAAGACCCCGGGTCTCGGGTACAACACCTTTTATTGGCCAAACACAACCCCACATTTTTACCCAAATAATAGCCTTAAAACCCAAGAGACAACCACTACAAACAAAATCTCAAAACCCCCACAAACCCCAGCCCCATCCCTGATTTTAGTCCACCAAGGAGACAGGATTGAAGAAAGGTTACCCCATGCTTTGGAGGTGGATGTTGCTAGGAAGCTTCCTCATGATTCACATTCAATGTATTATGTATTTTCCCCTTTGATGTACCCCTGGATGGCTCCACCAAAATCCCAACTCTCCCAATATATCCAAAAGTCTTCTTTCTTTTCTTTAATTCAAAATAAAGTCTTTCCCATCAATTTTTAGTCAAAAATGAAATCAAAAGAAGACAAGTTAAACCTTAGTTTCTTTTTATCTTTTAAAACCTTTGTTTCTTTTCAAATCCTTTTTACCCAAATTATGCCTTTCCCACTTTTTCTTCCAACCTTGATTCTGAAGCCCTGAATAATCGATTATACATAATTTATAATTGACTATTATAGCTCTCTAATTCTTCTTCAAAATCCACAACTTCACATAATCGATTATTTTACATGTAATAATCGATTATCTCTATTCTCTGAAAGTATCCAACTTTGAGCAAGCCCTTGATAATCGATTGTCCTTGAATGTCAATCGACTATTTGGTTTCTCTGAACATTTCCGGATTGAAACCAAATCCTATGAATCGATTATCCAGAGATATTAATCGATTAGCTTACATCTCTGAACCTTGAAGTCCTGAAGTTTTTCAATTCCTGTTTGCCTTTTCTAAGCTTGGGTATAAGGCTAAAATTATTTCCTGATTTTCAACAAAGAATAAAGCCTTTTCTTCCACAAAACAAAAGCATAATCACTTTTGAAACAAAGGAACAAAAATCAGAAACAAAGTCATTGAATGAATAGTGCTGTTTTGGCATTTTATTCACAATTGTCAAAAGCTTGACTCCCCTTTGTTTTCTTCCTTATATGCACGAAATTTCTACCCAAATAAACCCAAAGAAGATCAGCTTAAAATCAGGAGAAGCATCATGGAAAATCAACTCATATGGCTGGGCATTAAGCATTGATTTTTAGGAAAGAAGTAGGAAACTTCCTTGTTGTATATTTCCTTATTTGTTGTTGTATAAATACTTCAGCCATGAGCCATTGTAAAAGGATACCAGATTATTGAATTAAAAACCTTGTTTACTCTTTTGAGTAATTCCTTTAAAATAGTGTGATGCTATTTTAACCAAATTTCCTAATGAAATATCTCTAAAGTTGGCTAGTTTTGAGTGCGTGTTAGGAGTCTAATTTTATACATTAGTAGTGATTATTAATGTGTAAAAGAAGATAAAAGCCCCAAGTTAAGATAAGAGTGTGTCATATCTCTTAACACCAACTTGGTTTATCCCTTTACTTTATTTCTGTCCATTTCATTCCTCACCATTTCTTCTTCTTAAACTTATTCTTTTCTCTCATTAAAAACACCAAAAAGAACTCTTTCCCACACTCCATATTTCACCCCTTCAATTCCATCATCCATTTCCTTCCGCAAATCCGCCACAAAATAGCTACTCGATAAGACCCCGGGTCTCGGGTACAACACCCTTCCCCTCTCCCTATATAACTCAGGCCCTATGGCCATTGTAAGATCATCTTTTCAATATTAAAATCCCTATTACTCTTTGAGTATTAATAAAATAGTGTGATGCTATTTTAGCCAAATTCCTAATTCTATATCTTAAGAGTGGTTATCTTAAGTGTGAGTTTTAGGTTCTAGATATTTGATTAAGTGTGTCATATCTTAATTAAATTCTAGATTCAAACCCCAAGTGAGGATAAGAGTGTGTAATATCTCTTAAACACCAACTTGGTTTATCCATCATTATTTTCTTTTCATTTCTTTTCCCACCATTTCTATCCTTAATCTCCTTTCTTTCCTCATATTATAATACCAAAAGAACTCCTTCAACATTCCCATATTAATCCCAACCATTCCCCACCCAAACACCACTATTTTTCCGCCCAGATTTCGAATCCCGACTGCCTTCATAATCGATTATCAATAAAGATAATCAACTATCCCACCCTTGAGGACTTTCTTGACGTCTGCTGCAAAGCCCAATAATCGAGTATTAACTATTGATAGTCGACTATTGTCCCCTCCTGAACTCCCTTGGAATAAGCTGTGAACCCCAATAATCGATTATCATATACTGATAATTGACTATCTGCCCCCTGAAGTTTCTGGGTTTTAGAAGCACAGCTCCATAATTGATTACCACCTAGCCATAATTGATTATCACCTACTCCTAAACATTGAACTCAAGCTACATCCTCCCTTAATGTTATACCCGAGACCGGGGTCTTATCATTTAGATAATTTGAGGGCGGGATTACGGAGGAATTGGAAGCAAACTAGAACAGCCTTTAATCTTCAGGACGGCCAGATAGTCGATTGACACAATCGTGATAATCGATTAACAGGTGCTTCAGTTTCTTAGAAGAATTCCTCAGAATTTCAGGAGGGGCTGATAGTCGACTGACAGAAGGAGACAATCGATTGTTAGAGACTGCAGGATTTCTGGGGGACGTGATAATCGATTGTCCTGAAATGATAATCGACTATAATGGGTTGCAAGAGTTTCAACGGTGACTGATAATCGATTGTCACTAAGGATAATCGATTATTGGGCAGAAGTCTGGGCAAGAAGAAGGGTGTTTTGTGTGGGGGAATGGCTGGGAAATATGGGGATGATGAAGGAGTTCTTTTTGGGGTATTTTAATGGAAGAAAAGAGTAAGGTTAAGAGGAGAAATGAGGGAGATAAGAAATGGAAGAAAATCAGGGATGGATAAACCAAGTTGGTGTTAAGAGATATTACACACTCTTATCTTAACTTTGGGTTTGAATCTAGAATTTAATTAAGATATGACACACTTAATCAAATATCTAGAACCTAAAACTCACACTTAAGATAACCACTCTTAAGATATAGAATTAGGAATTTGGCTAAAATAGCATCACACTATTTTAATAATACTCAAAGAGTAAAAGGTTTTCAATATTCAAAGGTGTTTCTACAATGGCCATAGGGCCTGATTATATAGGGAAGGTGGAAGGGGGAAGAAAAACACAATACATTGAATGTAGACATAAGGAAACTTCCTGGGATAATACCCATTTATTCTTGTCTCCTGAATGGACTGAAATCAGAGATGGGTGCCTGGGATTGTGGGGTTGTTTGGCATGTGAATGGAGGTCACTTTATTAATGAATGGGTGGATTATTTCTGCCAAGGGGGGAAGGAATTGTACAGGGGATGGTGGGTTGTTTTGGAGGTTTCCTGTGGGTAGTTTTAAGGGGAACAAGGTAAGGTTTGATTGGTGTAAAGGTGGGTCATTATGTCTTGGATTATAGTGGCTATTTGTGTATCCAAGTTGATGGACATAATGGGGAACAAGGATTGGCTTATGGCATGGGTTTTGGGCAGGGATTCTTGGCCAGGAGTGAAGGGGAGAGGGAAAGGAAATAATGTAGTTTTTGGGCTGGTTATTTTTGAATGGTGCTACTACACCCAGGAGTTTCAGGGATGGCAGATAGTCGATTATCAATAACTGATAATCGATTATTGGGGTTCGCTGCTGATGCCAGGGAAGTTCAGTATGGTTCAATAGTCGATTCTCAATGTTCAACAATCGATTATTAGACCTCTCAGGACAGCAATACGGATAGAAGGTGATGGGTGTATGGTGCTGATGGAAAAGTGAAATTATGGGAATGAAGGTGGAGTTATTTTTGAGTTGGTTCTTTTGGATATTTTGCGACTTGGTTTTTGGTGAGGGTGATTCAGTTTTAGATGGGGAATGGGGGTTCCGAGGGGTTATTGCTGGGCCTTGTAGTTTAAGGCTGATTTCCCCCCAAAAAGGAGCAAAGTCCTCAGCCATGTTTCCCTTCGATTGCGTGAACATTTGAAATATGTCTCACAACTTGGATGCAGTGACCCTGGATATAACATCCTCCCCTTCTTCGAAAGAGTTTGCCCTCAAACTCGAGTTTTCTTTAGGCTCTTCATCAGGGCTGGAGTTAAACTTGCTTACATCACAATCTCCAATCATACTCTGTCCCGCTCCTTGGGGACTGAAAATCCAAAAATTCTTCTTTGGGAACTTAACGTTGGTGATCCTTCTTTCTTGTGTTCCTTCATGATTTCCCTGCAAATCAAACACGAAGGTATTGGCACCAAAGGCCATTAGTGGTAACAAAATTCCTCGGTTGGCATTTTAGGGTGAGAGATTGGGTGTGTCATTCTTGCAAGGGCACAAGGGCATATTCGGCTCAACCCATCGTTCATAAATCAACCTTTTGATCTTTGAAGGGGTTTGCTTGGCAAAAATGGAGAGTATGGAATAGGATTGCTTTCGGGGCAGTAGGGATTTTGGTGTTGACGGATAAAGAGTAAATTTCTTGGTATTCACCACGAATGAGTATGTGTTAGCAAACCCATCGTAGATAACTCTCCTATCGAATAACCATGGCCTCCCAAGAAGGAGATGACAAGCTTTCATGGGGATAACGTCACACCAAACTTCATCTTGATAAGACTGGCCCATGCTAAATGAAATCAAGCTACGTGTATTCACATGTACTACTTCATCAAGATTCACCCATTGAATCTCATAAGGCTGAGGGTGCGGCAACGTCTCTAGATTGAGTTTTTCCACCGCCGTTTTGGAGATAACATTGGCATTGCTTCCACTATCGATGATCATCGAACACACCTTCTCTTGAATGGTGCAACGAGAATGAAAAATTCTCTCTCAGTGTGTGATATTATCCTGGGCAGCCACATGACTAATGGTCTTTTGAATGACAAAAAGTTCACCTTCATCAGGGCCAACAATTTCTTCTTCTTTATTTGGCTCTCCTTGAACCCAAAATGGATTCATTTCTTCTCCTTCACATTCAATGATAGCCATAATCTTCTTATTTGGGCAGTCACTAGCATAGTGACCAATGCCTTTGCAACGAAAGCACTTTTGTATTCGGCTACTTGATGAACTCGGTTTTGAACGAGGAGGAGCACTTGGTGAGGAAATAGGGTGCACGGTTTTAGGATTTTGAGGGGAGGGGGGCGTGGGGTTTTTTGCAGCAAGGGGGGTAGAAGTTGATGTACTTGGATAGGAAGAATTGGCATGGCTCAAGGAAGATTTGCACTTCTTGAGTTGAGCTTCCACTTTAAGTGCTAACTTGGTCAACTCTTCAAGGCTCTCAAAGGTTTGCAACTCCACTGTGTGGGCTATGTGGGTGTTTAGGCCAAAGAGGTATCTCACAAAGGTTTGCGAGTCATTCTCTTGGAGATCACACCGCATCAAGAGTTCTTCAAACTCTCGGTTGTATTCTTCTACAGACTGATTTCCTTGCCTTAGGTGTTGAAGCCTAGCAATGTTTTCCCTTATATAATGAGTCGGAATGAACTTCTTCTTCAATAAAGCTCTCATCTTGGCCCATGTTTTAACAACAGCCTTGCCTTCTCTTTTGCGCTCGGTGGTAGTGTTAGTCCACCACGTAGATGCGTAGCCTCTGAATTTTAAGGCCACAAGCTTGACCTTCTTGTCCTCCGGCACTTCGGTATAGTCAAAGACGCGTTCAATCATCTCTAACCATTCGATGAAATCTTCCGGGTCATCTTTTCCATCGAAGGTTGGTATTTCAACCTTGAAGTTAGAGGAAGACTTCTCTTGGTTGTTTCTTCTCATGGTGGCAGAAGGAACTTCTGATTGGGCATCTTCTTCTTGCTCATCTTCGCTTTCCTTTGGAGTTTGGACCATGCTCATTTTCAACTTGGTAAGTTGAGCCACCTGTTTGGCCAAATACTCAACATGAGCTTTGAGTTCGACATTGGATGCAATTAAATCTTCCTTGGTGATGTTTTGGGAGGTGTGAGACATGTGTTGAACTAGGAAGTGAAAGAATGAAGGTAGGGCAGTAGCTAGGATGAAGGAAATGGGAGGGGAGAATGTTTTGGCCGAAATGAGGATGAAGGAAAGGAGAAAGAGTGGAAGTGTGTTCTCGGTCCTTTGGGATGTAGGAAGAAGCTTTGATACCAGATGTTATACCCGAGACCGGGGTCTTATCATTTAGATAATTTGAGGGCGGGATTACGGAGGAATTGGAAGCAAACTAGAACAGCCTTTAATCTTCAGGACGGCCAGATAGTCGATTGACATAATCGTGATAATCGATTAACAGGTGCTTCAGTTTCTTAGAAGAATTCCTCAGAATTTCAGGAGGGGCTGATAGTCGACTGACAGAAGGAGACAATCGATTGTTAGAGACTGCAGGATTTCTGGGGGACGTGATAATCGATTGTCCTGAAATGATAATCGACTATAATGGGTTGCAAGAGTTTCAACGGTGACTGATAATCGATTGTCACTAAGGATAATCGATTATTGGGCAGAAGTCTGGGCAAGAAGAAGGGTGTTTTGTGTGGGGGGATGGCTGGGAAATATGGGGATGATGAAGGAGTTCTTTTTCGGGTATTTTAATGGAAGAAAAGAGTAAGGTTAAGAGGAGAAATGGGGGAGATAAGAAATGGAAGAAAATCAGGGATGGATAAACCAAGTTGGTGTTAAGAGATATTACACACTCTTATCTTAACTTTGGGTTTGAATCTAGAATTTAATTAAGATATGACACTCTTAATCAAATATCTAGAACCTAAAACTCACACTTAAGATAACCACTCTCAAGATATAGAATTAGGAATTTGGCTAAAATAGCATCACACTATTTTAATAATACTCAAAGAGTAAAAGGTTTTCAATATTCAAAGGTGTTTCTACAATGGCCATAGGGCCTGAATATATAGGGAAGGTGGAAGGGGGAAGAAAAACACAATACATTGAATGTAGACATAAGGAAACTTCCTGGAAGCAACTATTTCAAACACATGGGATAATACCCATTTATTCTTGTCTCCTTAATGGACTGAAATCAGAGATGGGTGCCTGGGATTGTGGGGTTGTTTTGCATGTGAATGCAGGTCACTTTATTGATGAATGGGTGGATTATTTCTGCCAAGGGGGGAAGGAATTGTACAGGGGATGGTGGGTTGTTTTGGAGGTTTCCTGTGGGTAGTTTTAAGTTGAACAAGGTAAGGTTTGATTGGTGTAAAGGTGGGTCACTATGTCTTGGATTATAGTGGCTGTTTGTGTATCCAAGTTGATGGACATAATGGGGAACAAGGATTGGGTTATGGCATGGGTTTTGGGAAGGGATTCTTGGCCAGGAGTGAAGGGGAGCGGGAAAGGGAATAATGTAGTTTTTGGGCTGGTTATTTTTGAATGGTGCTACTACACCCAGGAGTTTCAGGGATGGCAGATAGTCGATTATGAATAACTGATAATCGATTATTGGGGTTCGCTGCTGATGCCAGGGAAGTTCGGTAGGGTTCAATAGTCGATTGTCAGTGTTCAACAATCGATTATTAGAGCTCTCAGGACAGCAATACGGATAGAAGGTGATGGGTGTATGCTGCTGATGGAAAAGTGAAATTATGGGAATGAAGGTGGAGTTATTTTTGAGTTGGTTCTTTTGGATATTTTGGGACTTGGTTTTTGGTGAGGGTGGTTCAGTTTTAGATGGGGAATGGGGGTTCCAAGGGGTTATGGCTGAGCCTTGTAGTTTAAGGCTGATTTCCACCCAAAAAGGAGCAAAGTCCTGAGCCATGGCTTCCTTCGATTGCGTGAACATTTGAAATATGTCTCGCAACTTGGATGCAGTGACCCTGGATATAACACTTGATTCCACCTCAAAATAACAACTCGTTTATACCCTGGGTCTCAGGTATAACACCTATACCTACATTTCAAACACCATCTAAACGCATCCCTTTTTCTTCCTTAATTCATGTCCTAAATACTCCAAAAAACACTCCCACTCCCATGACTCAAACACCACTTAAAACCCTCGCTTTACCTTCCTTAACCACTGCCCAATATATTCCCCAAACCACTCCCACGACTCAAAAAACCACTTAAAACCATACTTTTTCCCTCCTTAACCACTGCCCAAAACACTCCCCAAACCACTCCCACACCCACGAATCAAAAACAACTTAAAGCCATGCCTTTACCTTCCCTAACCACTGCCCAAATTGTCCCCAATATCACCTCAACACCCATTCCCCAAAACTCCTCAATCACCACCTCCTTTTTGTCCCTAGCTACTGCCCAAAATAACCCCAAAATGCTTTCAATACCCCTTTTTCAAAGCTCTCCTAAAACCATGTGTTTAACCGCTCCACAAACTGACCAAAACACCCATGGAGCCATATTCACCTCCATGGCTCAAAGTCCCCTCAAGTTTGTTGAGTTTTTGCAGGTTTCATTTGATAAGAATATTGAAAAGAAACATGAGCCAAAAGGATCCATCCATTCTCAGCCTAGAGACTTAGTATGGGTCCATGTTAAGTGATATATCCCCGAGTACTACAAGTGATCCTCAAATCCTTAAACAAATCAGTGGAATCATGTCTAAGTGTTATGATCCTTTCTAGAATGAATTCACCATCACTAGGCCATATTACTCAACTATGATAACCTTGAACATATCCCCACCCTAAAAGGGCCGTATGTCCTTCACCAAAACCAAACCCAAAACCCAAAAACAAACCCCTAAACCTTAGTCTCATTTTCCTTCCCTTTGGCCGAAACTACCCTACCCCATGGCCCTACTTGATTCACTTCATGAACATAACACATTATGTGCCAAAAACCATATCAAACCATAAGCCATTTCCCCCCTTTCATTTGCCTAAGCTAGGGCCGAAACACACCAAGCCAAACACCCACATTCATTCACCCAACATCCAACCAACATTGTCCCCCTCATGTCCCCTAATACAGTCGAACAAACAAACACAATAAGCCATGGAACATTTGTGATTGCTTTGACCCTTAAACCACCATATGAATCACCATATACAATCCATCTTTCACACACCCCATTGTCCCCTATTAGGGCCGAATGACTCAGCACCCCAACCACCAATTATTCACCACAATAACAAGACAAAATACCCACACATCACCTACTTATTTTGCCCCTACAATATGGCCGAAAATCCCCTTCATTCAATGATATTCATTCATGATCCTTGGCCCCATTTATTGACAACCCTTAGCCAAAACATCACACCCAAAATCCCTGATTTTATTGCAATGAAAGGACTCAAAACATAGCTGTATTTTCAATGATTTGTGGAAGAAGTAGCTTGGTAGTTTCCTATGTATGTGTGTGTGTCTTTAAATTTCGTCCATAGGCCTTTTGTAATGCATATCATACTTTCTCATTTTGTAGTAGTAATACACTTGTTGTATTCTATTTTAAATCCTAATTTCTATATCTTTAGGTTGGTTCCCTTAAGTGTGAGTGTTAGGTTCTAGATATTTAATTTAGTGTGTAATATCATAATTGAATTCTAGACTCAAACCCCAAGTGAGGATAAGAGTGTGTTATATCTGTTATATCCGAATCGGGGGTCTTATCATTTAAGTAATTTGATGTTATACTCGAGGCTCGGGGGTGTGGGTATTATGTTCGAAAGCAAGGAGCAAAGCTCTTCAATTTGCAGAAAGGGTGGATAATCGATTGTCTATCTTAGATAATCGATTGTCAGATGGTGCAGTTTCTTGGATTTTTAGGAGGGATTGATAGTCGATTATCAGTATGGTGATAATCGATTAAATAGGGCTGTAGGTGTTTTAACAGAGGAATTATAATCGATTGTCAAGGATGATAATCGATTGTTATGGTCTGCAGGTGTTCCAATGGAGGGCTGATAATCGATTGCCTCAAAGGATAATCGATTATTTGACAGAATTCTAGACAGGAAGAAGGGTGTTTTGTGGGGGAATGGCTTGGAAATATATGGAGATGATGAAGGAGTTATTTTGGGTATTTTAATGGAAGAAAAGAGTAAGGTTAAGAGGAGAAATGGGGAGGTATGAAATGGAAGAAAATAAGGGATGGATAAACCAAGTTGGTGTTTGTTGTACCCGAGACCCGGGGTAGTCTAGGATATCAACTTAAGAGAAGGAAGAAGGAGAGAAGGATGTAGAAATATAGGGGAGGCTGAATTCAGGAGAAATCAAAGGAGAGGGAAAGAAGCATTTATCAAGTGAATAATATGAGGAATCACACACACTTATCTTCACTCGGGTTAAACTCTAGTATTTAAATAAGGAATCACTCAACTTATTTAATATATCTAGAACCTAAAACTCCCACTTAAGAGAACCACTTTTAAGATATAGAATTAGGATTTAATATATATATATATATATATATATATATATATATATATATATATATATATAACTTAGAGAGAGAGAGAGAACTGAGCAAGAAACTTATATTATCACAATATATATTTTACAAGCTGATTAAAACAATGAACCAGGGCTGAAATATATAGGCCATGGAATGGAGAAAACAATACAACAAACATGATTACATGATAATAAAATACAACAAAGGAAACTTCCCACTTCTTTCCTACAAAATAAAACAAATGCTGTGCATGTGTTAATATCCCAAATGAGTTGAATTCAAAGGCTAATGATCAGGGAGTTGGCATGTATTTTGGGTGGTTTTTATGTATGATTTTTGTTCTTAAGGTGGGAGAATAAAGGAAACAACATGGCTTGACTTTTAGTGAGTAATAGGACAAGATATTACTATTCAATCAAAGACTTTTTGGGCAGGCACATGGATGAAGGATTAAACTTTGTTTTGTATTGTAAAAGTCTTTGATTTTGTTGAATAATAACATGAGAATTTCGTCCATGGTGTATGGCCAAGTTTGTTCCTAAATTACAAAACATTTCCTGTTCAATAAATGACCATTTTACTGATTTCTGAGTTCAGGGTTGTGTGATAATCGATTATCGCCTACTGATAATCGATTAATAAGATACGTTTTCTAAACCCAGAATTTTCAGAGGCGTCAAATAGTCGATTAACTCTTCAGGAATAATCGATTGACAAGGACTGGTTCATCAAACCAGATATTTTCAGAGATGAGTGTTAATCGATTATCAATTGGGAGATAATCGATTATGAAGCATTGCTGGACTATGTTAGGAGAATTCAAAGGGAAGCAATAGTCGATTATCTATGTTGGATAATCGATTATTCTGTCTAAAAAATTAAA